TTTACCTTCGCTAACCCACCTAGCCTGCACATCCCTGGACATTACAGGGCAATTTAGCATGGCCAATTTACCAACCTGCATATTTTTGGACTGTGGGAGGGAAACGAAGCATCCAGAGAAAACTCACACAGACACAGGGAGGAGGTGCAAACTTCACACAGGCAGTCAACCAGGCTGGAATCGAACCCAGGTCCTTGACACTGTGAGGTCGCACTAACTGTTCAGGGGATGTGTGCATCATTGGCTGGGCTAGCATTAAATCCCTGACAAATTTCAGAATAGTGTAATAAAAGGTCTAGCTGTTTTTTGGGGACAATTTGTTCTTTTGCTAAGTCCTGCAATACTTAGCGTGGGTTAGCTAAGTGTCTTCCTTCAGTTTCAGGCTGCATGGAAACTAAAGTGGGCATCATCTCCAGCTGTAATCAACCTGTCTTGAAGAAATCTAGATTCAAAGGTCACCAGTCTCTTCCACCTCAGGAATTGCACACTTCCATCTCAGGCCGCTGAAGTTTTCATTTTCCTGGCAAAGCACAGATATATATCAAATTACCAAACACAACAAAAATAGGAAATTCATGGCATGAAGAATGGATGTACATGTTGGAACTTACATTGATTTTCCTGCAATCAGACAACACACAGGCATGGCCTAGACTGAGGTAAGTCTAAGCAGTGACAGAAGCAGCAACAGAATGAAGGAGAGTGAACCTGGGGATGAACAGCAAAAACAGCAGAAACAAGGTAAATAACTGAGGAACGGGGTCAGTGAGCAAACCTGGGGGTGAACAGTGGCAGCAGGATAAATACCTGAGGAGTGGCATCAGTCAGAGCGAACCTGAAGGTGAATCTAGGAGCGACGCTCTAGAGGTGATGTCTTGACTCAAAAAGTGACATTGGCTTGGCTGCTCAAGAACCAGGTTTGCAGACTGAGACAGTAGTGTCTGGACGGAGATAAAGTACAAAAATAAAGTTGTTGGAAACACTCAGCAGGTCTGGCAGCATCTGTGAAGGAGAAAACAGAGTTAATGTTTTGGGTCCGGTGACACTTTCTCAGAGATAAAGTACGTTTTACAGCTGCAGTCTGATAGGAATTGAGAATGGGAGTAAGAGACCTGAGTTTGGTGACTAGTGGGTAACGTCATGTAATCAGTACCTGGATTATTGTCTGTAGCTGATAAGGTTGATTTAGTCAATAAGGTTCACAATGACAGGAGAAATTGGCCCCATGAAATGCTCATTCTGCAATATGTGGGAAATCAGGGACACTTCCAGTAAGACTAAGAGGAAGAGGGAGAGGTTACTGAACACGGCAGGACCAGCTATGTAAGTTGTAATTGTTTTAATGTGAGGAGTATGACAGGTAAGCTTGGTTAATACATAAAACTATGATGTTGTAGCTATTACAGAGTCTTAGCCGAGAGAGGGACAAAACTGGCAGCGTAACATTCTGGGATTTAGATGTTTCAGATGAGGTAGAGAGGTATGTAGAAGAGGTGGGGGAGTTGCGTTACTGATAAGAGACAATATCATAGCTATAATGAGGGAGAACACTTTGGAGAGTTCATCCAACAAGGGATTTTGGGTAGAGCTCAGCAATAGGAAAGATGTAATCACGTTGATCGACAGCAGGTGATAAAGGAACAGTTATGTGGACAATATATAGAAAACTGTAAAAACAAGAGGGTTTTTTGTGGTGGGTGATTTAAACTTCCCCTATATTGACTGGGACTCAATTGGTGCTGGGGCTTTGATGGGAGGTATGTGTTGAGTGTGTCCAGGATGGTATTTTGAAGCAACATATAAATAGTTCAACTTGGGAAGGGGCATGATATTGGGGAATGAGACCAGCCAGGTGATGAAAGTTTCAGTGGGAGAGTATTTCAGGAACAGTGATCATAATTCTGTAAGTTTTACATTACTTATGGATAAGGAGAAGAGTAGTCCTCAGGTGAAAATATTAAATTGGGGGAAGGCTAACTACCACATTATTAGACAGGAAATGGGGAATGTAGTTGAGGAGATGCAGCTGTTTGAATGTAAATTCACATCTGTTAAAACGTACTTTATCTCTGTCCAGACACTACTCTCTCAGTCTGAAAACCTGGAATCTTTTAAAAGCCATTTGATTAGATTTCAGGACCAGCATGTTCCTGTGAAAATGAAGGATAAGAATGGCAAGATTCAGGAACGATGGATGACAAGAGAAATTGAGAGCTTAGTCAAAAGAAAAAGGAGGCATTCGAATGGTTTAGGAAACTGAACACAGGCAGAGCCCTTGAAGAATACAAAGATAGCAGGAAAGAACTCAAACAAGGAATTAGGAGGGCTTAAAGGGGCCATGAAATATCTTTGGCAAACAGAATTAAGGCAAGTCCCAAGGCGTTTTACATGAATATAAGAAGCAAGAGAGTAAGTAGAGAAAGAGTAGGTCCACTCAAGAATGAAGGACGGAATTTATGCGTGGAGCTGGAGGAAGTAGGTGAGGTCGTTAATGAAAGAGTTGCATTAGTATTCACTAAGGAGAAAGACATAGTGGATGGTGAGTCTCGGGATGGGTATGTTGGTATCTTAGGTAATGTGAATATAAAAAAGATGTTGGGTGTTTTCACAAGCATTAAGGCAGACAAGCCCCCAGGACCTGATGGGATCTATCCTAGAATGCTGAAGGAGGCAAGTGAGGAAATTGCTGGATCCTTTTATGAAATCTTTATATCCTGTTATGTTACAGGAGAGATCCCAGAGGACCGGAGAACAGCTGACAATGTTTCTTTGTTTAAGAAGGACAATGATGATTATCTGGGAAATTATGGGTCAGTGGGCCCTACGTCAATGCTAAGGAAATTATTGGAGAGGGTTCTTATGGATAGGTTTTACTCACATTTGGAAAAATATGGACTTATTAGCCAAATGCATCATGGCTTTGTGCGGGGAAGGTCATGTCTCACGAACTTGATTGTGTTTTTTGAGGAAGTGACAAAGATGATTGATGAAGGCAGGGTGGTATACGTTGTCTATGTGGACTTTAGCAAGCCTTTGATGAGCTTCTCATGGCAGGCTGATACAGTAGGTGAAGTCACATGGAACCCATAGTGAACTGGTAAAGTGGTTATAAAATGGGCATATTTATAGAAGACAGAGAGAATTGGTGGAAGGATATTTTTCTGACTGCAGATCTGTGACCAGTGTCTTCTGCAGGAGTCACTGCTGAGACCCCTAGTATTTGTAATATATATTAATGATTTGGAAGAGAATGTAGGTGACCTGATTAGTAAGTTTGCAGATGACACAAAGATTAGCGGCGTTGCAGATATTAAGGAGGATTGCCAGAGGATATGACAGGATATAGATAGACTGGAGACTTGTGTGGAGAAATGGCATGTGGAGTTTAATCCAGATAAATGGGAGCTGATGGAGTTTTGAAGATCTAATATAGGAGGGAAATATACAGTAAATGGCAGAAGCCTTGGTAGCATCAACATATAGAGGGATCTATATTCCCCTGAAAGGAGCAACACACGTGGATAAGGTGGTCAAGAAGGCATATGGCATGCTGCCTTCATCAGTCAGGATATAGAGTATAAAGTTTGGCAAGTCATTAACAGCTGTTTAGAATCTTGATTAGGCCACATTTGGAATATTGTGCACTGTTCTGGTTGCCACACCACCAGCAGGAAATGGAGGCCTTAGAGAGAGTACAGGAACAATTTACCAGAAGCTGCCTGGTTTGGAGGATATTAGCTATGAGGAGAGATTGGCCAAACTTGGTTTGTTTTCATTTGATAGTCAAAGGGTGAGGGGTTACTTGGTAGAAGTTTGCAAAAATTTGAGAGACATGGATATAATGGATAGTCAGAGCTTTTTCCTCGTGGAGAAATATCAATTACTAGGCTACAAAGGTTTAAGGTTAAAGGGGGTAAGTTTAAAGGAGATTTGAGGCAAGATTTTTACAAAGAGGCTGATATGTGCATAGAATGCATTGTCATAGGAGGTGTTGGAGGTGGATACAAGAGCAATGTTGAAGAGGCATCTTGACAAATATATTAATATGTAGGGATAAGAAGGATGCAGACTGTGTAATGTCAAAATTTTTAATTTAGAAAAGCATCATGCAGTCTTACTGGGCCAAACAGCCTATACTTGTGCTGCACTGTTCTTTGCTCCTCATTTCACCAGTGTGCAGGACCAGGAGCATTTATCCAGTATACTGTACTGCTAAAGGAACACTATCCTCTTTGTGTGAACGTTCCCATTGGATGATGTAAAAGCCAGACAATTAATTTCAATATGTTAGAAAGGAAACTAAGCAAGATGCACAAATCCACATGCGATAACCTCCTAATGGCCAAATCCAAGCACAAAGAATATTACTTATGCTCAGCTTACTTTATCTTTAGAAATATTGACATACATAAACATACAAGTATACTTCTGAGTTCAGGCCCAATGTCTCAATGAAATTAATTGTAGATTAAACCTAATCTCATCATTTTGGATAATAGCATAAATCAATAGAGGTAGTAGTTTTTTTATGCCTGATATCCTCTGCACTGTGAATATTCAATACATTAGCATTCGTATGAATTGTAAGAAACTGGTGTTGCGCTATGGACAGGAAATTCTAAATACTCCCATAGCCTATCACAGGTCTTCAAACACTTTGACGTTTCCCCCGGGGAACTTTTTACAGTTCCCTGTGTCAGATCACAGCAGAAGTGTGCTGAAACCGATTGGATTCGACTTCCTTACCACACTTTGCTGTCCTTGGTTAACAGACTCAGGTATGTGGCACTGAGTTGGTATGTCAATTAAATGCAGTCAAGATATTTCATTGCTAATACAAAATTAATCTTGCTTTCTTGATTTTGCAAAAAGTTAAGATGTAACTTGTTTGAATTATAGATTTATCAAATAAGCACACCCTTAAATGAAGATTAAAATTAATCTCATAGTTTTTTAATATTTATATTTGATTCAGACATTAAGCTGGTTGGGAATTCAACATGAGCCTTTTACACATCCACCTGTGTTTGACACCCTTGCTATTATGGGTCATTCAGAAGTCTGGTGCGTTTGTGCTGTCTAATGTCACCGACCTGACGGTGAACCCAACAGCCGAGGTCAACCCTGAGGGGAGAACGTTTTTCTCGGCCCCCGGGACTCCCCGCAGTAGACGCAAGCGGCAGATCTCTCCGAGAGACCGCAACGTGATTCTGGATTATCACAACAGGGTTCGCTCGCAGGTCTTCCCTCCTGCCGCTAACATGGAGTATATGGTGAGTGGCATTCTGAGTCAATTTTGCTTCACTGATGGGAGATCATGGAAGGAAATGAATCTGAATGGGATTGAGGTAACCCCCGTCCTGACCTGTTGGGTCTATACTTTAGAGTGCTGTCACAGCAGAAGCAGGTTCTGTTTTGACCCCTGTGCTTCTCCAAGCTCACTGAGCCAAGTGCATCCACGCACCCGAGTTGTTTTAGTTCCAAACTGCAACTCTAAACTGGAATTGCGAATCCCTAATCCGGATTCACCGTTTAATCTGCTTCTCCAGAACAGGGGAGAGAAAGCAGTCCCCTAACAGTTCAAAGATTTTAAGTGCCCCGCTTTGGAAAGTTTGCAAACACGTGACAAACTTAATAGAAATGTTTAAGGAGCCGGAATTTCCCACTGCCTAAATATTTTGAAAATGGAATGTTGGGGAGAGAGTCAGTCCCTGGAGGGATCCAAACAGTTTAATTTGTGACTCGTTCATTGTCAGTTTGGCGTCACTCTCAGGACATCTTTATATAGACAGGACTCACTCCAGCGGCAGTAGGGTTAGCACAGGGGCTGGAGGGAGGTATTTGTTCCAGCGGCGCTAGACAGTTTGTATTGAGTCAGCAGCAACCCAACAGCAAGTCTGAACACTCTCTGTGCCGGTTATTGTATTCGTTATTCCAACCATGGTTATGGAATCAACCATGGCCCAGCTTTTACTGCGGCCAACGAAAACTTAGATTGGCCTTCTGCGTATTTTTTTTTCATGAACGTTTAACTGCAAGCAGAGGCTGGAAACTGTGCACCTGGAACTTGCATGAACAGAGCAAATAAATTATGCACCCTCTTAACCAGCCAAACTGAAGATTTGTTATTGAGTAGCGCTAAGTCTGAACAATGAAATGTAAGGTAAAATAGTGTACACCATTCCAAACCAGACCATGAAAGGTAAAGATTAAGAGTAATAAAAATGTTTAGAAATTGCATTTTATTTATATCAGTGATAACAAAGGTTGAAAGAATAAAATTTCACACTGAATGTTAGTTGGTGCTTTCAAAGTAAACTTCACACTTCATTCTGAGGAAGGATCACTGGACCTGAAACGTTAACTCTGATTTTTTTCTTCACAGACGTTGCCAGACCGGCTGAGCTTTTCCAGCAAATTCTGCGTTTGTTCAAACTTCATTATTGCATGTTTAAATTAACAATAGTATTATGCATTAATTATCAGTCCATTACCATCTTTCAAGACAAAGCAGCAGTGAGAAACTGATCTCATCAAACATTGTATACATTGCTGTGAGATTCAACATCAATATATTCTGATGAAGGGTTTCGGTCTGAAACGTTAATTTCCCTGCTCATCAGATGCTGTATGACGTGCTGTGCTTTTCCAGCTCCACATTTGATTCCAGCTTCCAGCATCTGCAATCCTTTCTGTGTCCATGTGGTAATGTGTGAACCATCTTCTGTGCATTACTAAGATTAAAAGAATATCTAATTAATTTACTGATGCTAAATTTGGTTTGATTTATCTATTGTCACGTGTATCTTGTTACAAAACACAGTGAAAAGTGTTGCATAGCGTCACCACTCTCAGGTGTCATCTTAAAACACAGAAAAATAAACCAATAAAATGTAAAGGCAGAAAAATGAAGAATTAAAGAAAGTGTCCAACTTTACAGTCCTTCTTGTTAAGTGGTCAGTCATGGGCCTGGTGGCCAGACATGAGTCTCCTTCATCGTGCCACCAATGCTGGAGCGAAAGTCACCAATCTTTGGCACCATCTCACCTCCACCAACAGTCTCACCACTACGGGTCCTTGCTGAACCTCACCAATACAGACGTCACTGATGCCACTGGCTACTGCCCCGGCCCAAACACAACTGTGCCACCACCATGAATCTACTTAAGGTCCACCTCATCAATGCAGCTGCTGCTAATGCTGCCAGGTCTCATACTGGGCCCAAACTCACCTCTGCTGCCATCTGCATGGATCTGTGCCGGACGCAGATACAGTTGTGAACCCAAACTCACCTCTGCAGCAGCAGCCATGAGTTGGTCTGCTGGGCCTGCTCGCCGTCGCTGCAACCGAGCTCTTTTTGATTTTGATTTTATTGTCATGTGTACCGAAATACAGTGAAAGTTTTGTTTATGAGTGGTACAGGCAGATCACAGCAAGCAGAGGATGTACAGATCAAAAAGACATAGAGGCCTACAGGTTACATTGCAGGTTACATTATTTGAGGCTAGAGTCCGTTCAACAGTCTGATAATGGTCAGAAAGAAGCTGTTCCTGAACCTGCTGGTGTATGTGTTCAGGTTTCTGTATTCTGCCTGACGGAAGATGTTGTAGGAGAACGTTATCAGGGTACGATGGGTCTTTAATGATGTTGACTGACTTTCTGTGGCAGTGGGCTGTGTAAATAGAGTCCATGGATGGAAGGTTGACTTCCATGATGGTCTGGGCTGTGCACACCACCTTCTGTAGTTTCTTATGGTCCCGGGTGGAGCAGTTGCCGTACAAGGCCATTATACACCTGGACAGTTTGCTTTCAACGGTGCATCTGTAGAAGTTGGTGAGGGACCTTATGGACATGCCAAATTTCCTGAGCTGCCTGAGGAAGAAGAGGCGTTGTTATGCCTTCTTGATTGTCGCATCTACGTGGGAAGTCCAGGACAGGTTGTTGGTTATCGTCGTTTGGAGGAACTTGATGCTCTTCACCCTCTCAACGTCAATTCCATTGATGTAGATGGGGGCATGTTCTCCTCCTTTCTTTCTGAAGTCGATTATCAGTTCTTTAGTTTTGCCGACGTTGAGAGAAAGATTCTTTTCATTGCACCACGTCACCAAGCCCTCTATCTCCCTTCTGTATTTTGATTCGTCATTGTATTGTAGATGGCATTCATTCAGAATTTGGTGACACAGTCGTAGGTGTACGAGGAGTACAGTAGGGGGCTGAGGACGCATCCTTGGGGGGCTCCAGTGTTGAGTGTTATTGTGGAGGAGGTGCAGTTACCTACCCTCACTGTTTGCAGTCCGTGGGTCAGAAAGCTGAGGATCCCGTTGCAGAGGGCAGAGCCGATACCAAGGTCACACACCAAGCGGTAAACAAAATAAAACAGAAAAGAAAAATAAATGAGAGAAGAGAGAAAATAAAGTAAAGAAACTAAAAGAAATGCAGATGGAACGGATGATCCCTGTGCTCAGAAGCCCTATTCCATCGCAATCTTGCCGGAAGGGTAAGTAAGTATGATTATTGTGATTGTTTCTATTCTGCATAAATATTTTGGCAGAATATTATCATTTATTGTTAAAGTGATATTTGCTTTCTAACAGCCTGAATTTTTAAAAGTCACTTAAAATTACGTTGTCATCTGGAGGTTCTGTAAAGAAGAATGGGAGTTCATAAATAAAACAACAAGAGCAAATTAAGTGTCCAACATGAATGAATTGTTTGCAGTTTTAATTATTCAATGTTTTTGGACAATTTCTTACATATGGTCTAAATTACAGTTTCAAAATTCTTTTAAAGTTTATTATGAAAATGGTAATTGGTAATGACTGCTGGAAGTTCTAGCAGTTCCAAGAGGCACATCCAATATTTATAGAGGTGGCACATTTCTAACTGCCAGGAATAATACTTGCAAAATCAACCAGACCTGTGTATGCTCATGCACTTGTCAGATCGCTTATGCCACTGATAACATCTTTCAATTATCTTTCAATTCAATTTGTGGGTGGCACGGTGGCTCAGTGGTTAGCACTGCTGCCTCACAGCGCCAGGGACTCGGGTTCAATTCTACCCTCGGGCGACTGTCTTTGTGGAGTTTGTACATTCTCCCCGTGTCTGTGTGGATTTCCTCCCATAGGTCAAAGATGTGCAGGCTAGGTGGATTGGCCATGCTGAATTGCTTGTAGTGTTCAGGGCTGTGTAGATTAGGTGGGTTATAGGGGGATGGGTTTGGGTGGGTGCTCAGAGGGTCAGTGTGGACTTGTTGGGCCTAAGGGCCTGTTTCCACACTGTAGGGATTCTATTCTATAAATTAGGCAATGTTTCCATAGATGCAACCTGAAGGCTAATACTGTGGGAGGTAGTTGCCATGGTCTAATGATAGTTTGTTCCTGTTAGAGTTTTTGCTGGTTATATTTCTGGAGCTTGCTTTGGAAAATCTCATGTCACATCTCATTGCTGTGGTATTTTGAGGGGATCACTGCGAAATAGTAGTAACCAAAAACAGAAATTGTTAGAAAAGCTCAGCAGATCTGGGCATCTGTGGAGAGAAATGACCTGAAGCGTTAACTCTGGCTTCTCTCCACAGATGCTGCCAGACCTGCTGAGTTTTCCCAGCAATTTCTGTTTTTGTTTCTGATTTCCAGCATCTGCTGTTCTTTCAGTTTTTGTTAAGAAACAGCAGTATTAGGTTGGTCAACTCTAGCCATCCCTATTTCACAGGCCATAGATCTGATCAGTGGGCTGGATGGTTTCACAACAGCCATCACAGCCTGAAAACCCTGAGAGACAATATCATACACTGATATCAGAAGGACCCAAATGCAATTTTATCTCACCAGCCCAAGTTGGAAGTTGCTATAGCATTCTCAACTTTTGAAGACAGTAGAGAGGAGTAGAAAGGAGAAAGAGTACTCCTCGAGCCCCCACAAGGGAAGCTTAGCAATTTCATACCATGGATTCTTCTTCTCAATCCTGAACTCCTGAAAACAATTCGGAATATCAAATACATATATACTCCATCAGTCTATTGGTTCTGCTATTCTTTAGATCAGGCAGGATATATTCTGAATTCCGTATATTAAGTGAAATTTACCATTTCAATTTGCTTCTCTCACAGCTCTGGGATGACAGACTAGCAAAATCTGCTGAAGCATGGGCAGCATATTGTATATGGGACCATGGACCACCAAGCTTGATGAGATATGTTGGTCAAAATATGTCTATTCAATCAGGCCGGTGAGTAAATGAGGCTCATTCCATATTTAAGGATAAGTGGATGGTTTTGGTGTGCAGAAGACTAGCAGTTACAGGCTGGCTGGCTGTATAAAACAGCCTGTCGGATTTTTCTGGAATGGATAGAATGTATAATGTGTGTCATGGCTGGAATTGTTTTTCAAATGTGAGACTTCTCACATAATATGTTGTGATCAACTGAAAGTCTGGAGCAATTAAATATTTCTTTAAATTAATTGCTTTTGAGTTAACTCAGCTAAGGCTCTTTATACCATAATACACTTCTCCAATTTCTCACACGAATGACCATTCTTTATCTGTGAACATGATTAGGCGAGTGTCATGGGGTAGAAAGAAATAAATAGCTTTGTGTATGCTTCTGAATCCCCCATTACCCACTCCCACCATGCCCACCCAGTGATCCTCATCCTGCCTTCGCCTTTTATCTGGATCCTGCAATCCTGGATTTGCAGTCTCAGGTGATTGCATTGCTACCAGTTGCCGCTGTTCCCACTGGGACTTCCATAGTCAGGAACCTCAAGTGCTGGGAAGGTCTGATCATGCCCACTTAAGTGCCCAAAGTGCACTTGATTCTGTTGGACCTTTCCCCATTGAATTAACAAGACACCGCGACAATTCTTTCACTGGTGGACAAGATCCTCATGGGTCTTACAGAATCCTGGCCACTGTCAGGAGATTTTTTTTCCTTGCTCCTAGTTTTCCAGCAGATATAGATTGTAGCATCTATTTCTAAATATTTGTTGAGATTAAGGATAAAAAGGTCATGGGAGAAATGGACTCCTGTTTCAGTTTACACCCAGTGTGGATTACAGATGAGTCAGGATAGCAGAAATTACTGAAATCAACTTCTTCAGTGTGGTTCAGAAGTAGGTAAAATATCACTACGCTCATGAGAAATATTCTGAAATATTACATGCACAGGTTATATTCACTGAATTTAAAATATTATAAAAAGAAACCTCAGTAACTGATATAAAGAGTGGCAACATTATTTGGTTTATTAAATCCATTGTTCAAATGTTTGAGTAAGAGTTTACCTTTCCACAGTACTTTCTTATAGAAAGGGCACTTTTCAGATCCAAAAGGGGTGGCCCTAGACCCATTTAAACATTTGCATAGTGAAAACAATGATCTGATTAGGATAGCCCTTGTCCCATAGGATAACTGTTGTACTCTATTCCTGGGTCACGTTAGCAAGGTGATCAAATGGCTGCAACCCTAATTATAAGATTGATGATAAGGCCACCTTTATATTGAAGCTATATGAATACCAAAGTGAATATTGACCTTTGAACGTATGCTTACAATAGCAGAGAACCCTTTAGTGGATTTCTCAACAAATACATGAACTAACCCATGCACTGTTCCATATCAGAAGGGACTTTAAGTGGATGATTAATGTGAAAGGAAATCTTTAAGCATAAGCTTACCCAAGAGCCTGAAGAGCCAATAATTCCCTGTTGCTTTCTCCATTGCATTGTCTTAGCCAAGGTACCTTCCAATTGAAATCCTTTTCTCCTACAGTACAAATTGTTGCAATCATTTGAAATTTGGCATTCATGTGATCGTCCTGATAGGTTTAAGGTGGCAAACTTTTCACCTATGTTCAGGTATCATATCAAAACAAAATGTTTTTTGGTTTTTTTCCCAGCTATCGGTCAATTTTAGATCTTGTAAGATCATGGTATGAAGAAGGGCGCTATTACTCCTTTCCTTATCCAAGAGAATGCATTCTACGATGCCCCAATAAATGCAGTGGAGCAGTTTGCTCCCACTATACTCAGGTATTAAACAAATAATTTAATTAAATACAAGATACTAATGATTTTGCAATGAATTACAGCATTTAGTGTTACAATGGGAAATGGATCATGGAATACATACTCATTAGTGAGTCACAATGTTAACATAAATATTTAACTGTGGTATCAAACAACTACAATAGATTTTAATGTGCTGAAAAGTTAAAAAAATAAATAGCAATTACTGGAAATGTTTGGCAGGACAAAGAGATAAACCAGTTTTCATCTCTTTGCAACTATTTGAAAGGAAGGTTTTGCTGAATTTTCAGCCCATGAACTGATGAGATGCAACATTCCAAATTCATCTTTTGCTTCTGCTTTGTTCAATTGTATTAAGGATCTGATTTATCTTACAGTTCCTAGCTCTGTTGAAAGTTTTACATTTGAAATGTTAACATGCCTTTTTGTCTCCACGGACATTGAATGCCTGCTGTGTATTTCTAGTATTCACTGTTATGAATATATCAAATGGTTACAGTGAAATTCTGTTCTATTGCTTTCAGTGGCAATGTTCATAACATTGAGAATCCTTTCATATTTTTCAAGGATATGTGATCCTCAAACTGAAATCTGCCACTCTATCTCTCCTGATGAAATATAAATGGTGCTGTAAGCATTGAAGAATGTCAACAGTGTGGTCAAGTTGGGCCAACCTTTCAAAAAGAAGGAATGAGATATTTGATCAGGCAATAATTACAAGCAATGCTTTTTATATTTCAGCTCCAGAATTTTTAAAATGTGTTTTATTAATGAAATATATGTATTTTTAATGTCTCATGCTTGAAGTGTTAATGATGTACCTTAGTTACTATGTTCAGTACAGAGATTTTAAAGTTAATTTATTTTAGGATTATTCCTTACTTTTCAGATGGTCTGGGCAACATCAAACAGAATAGGATGTGCTGTCCACACCTGCAATAACATGAAAGTCTGGGGTTCTTTATGGCCCCGCACTACATTCTTAGTGTGCAACTATTCAATAAAGTACGTATTAGTTTTAATTTAAACTATCTTCATTATAAGCATATGCATGAATGTTTTACCACAGCAAAAATAAACTTAACACAAGGAAATTTAAAATGTCATCCCTACTTAAATGACAATTTTTAAAAATGAACAGTTATATCATGCAAAATATGTGTTTTATTGGTAATGTAAAATTTTGAGTTTGCAGCAGATGTCTATATTAACAGCAATCACATAATTTCAATAATTCTTAGGGACATTATATGACAGTAATATCGCACAATGAAAAATATACTACATTTATAAGTTGATCCAGATCACTAAACTAAATTGTATTGATGTAGAGATTTACAGTTTTACATTAACTGATCTTCTGCAAGCTGGTATTTAAAATGAAATGGTAAATTATAAAAGGTGGAAATAAACTGTTGAATCTTTTCTACTCAGGAACTTATAAAAAAAATGCTTTAATAGTTACATGGCTTCTTAAGAAGTGGACACATGACAGTCACACAGCATGGACATTAGCAGCTCAGATATGCATTAGCTCATCTAGGAGCCTGGAGAAACCCTGTAGACAAACATAGAACAACTGACAGCTTGTTTCCATGTTTCCATATGTAGATTCAAGAAGTTGCTGTCAACTTCAGCATAATAATCATGATGAACACAAACAGTTTCCCTGGCATTACTACTGCAAAACTGAGTCATTATCCTCATAGAAGGAATGGTGCATAAAAGTGAGCAGTGATCCTTGCAAGGTTTATAACATTGTAAAAAAAAAGCATATTAAAATGATACATGTTTTATATTTTTCTAATACAGGGGAAACTGGATTGGAGAAGCTCCATATAAAACTGGGAAACCGTGTTCAGCTTGCCCACCCAGCTACGGAGGCTCCTGTAGTAACAATCTTTGTATTCCAGGAATCATGTCAAATAGGTTGTTCCCATTCAAGTAATTTATGTTCTGTACAATTTGTTGACAGTGGTAAAAAATTAATACGAGTATCTGGTTTCCTACTTGCAACTAATGTATAAACCACTGGTTTGATGAAAATGATAATCAGGAAAAAAAAGCTCTAACTATTGCCTCAAAAAGTACATGGGACATGCTTATTCAAAATATTAATGTAACGCTTCAAAGATAATGTATTTTCTTAAGAACGAGATCATTACCTCTGACAAATCAGGAAAGATTTTCAGACTTTTGGAAAAGCAGTTTTGATTTTACACAAGTTTATTTCAAAAGAAACACATCATAAATCTGAATTGTTTCTGTGTTCCCATATCCCAGGCAACGAGCAATAGTGGCAATGACTCAGTCAGTTCCAATGTAAGCAAAAAGGTCTGGAAGGCATAGTTAACAGAGGACTGTTAAGTATATTTACAATTATGTGTGTGTTAAAACATGAGTGGAAATTTTTGCCTCCTCATGGAGGGGTAGCCACTCAACTCTTTCTTGCATACGAATATATAATTTGTTCAGTTACAGCTTACAGGAAAGAGGTTTAAAGGGAATAATCTCCAGCTACATAAAATATTGCATTGCAGTCATGAAAATTTCAGTATGTTAAACCTAATAGAATATGTTAAACTTAATAGAATATATCAAATCTAAACTAATCCTTCAGCTACAAAGACCATGAACAATTTACTTAAATACAAGTCCCGAAAGCACAACAAAATGAAAAGTGCAAATCAAGATTGCCCTCTATTGGACATATCACAACACTGATGATATCTCAAGATGATCTTTGCTAAACTGGAGCAATTGAACCTTGACTAAGCTACTTTCTATTTTACTTTCCGTTTTTTACCAAAGGTATTCATAGACTCCCAGTTAAGTAGAAAACCAATAATTAAAATACATTTCTCCAAATAAAAAGTATCAGCAATGGAAATGAAAACATGCTATCTATTGCACACAATTTCAGTAGTACTGTGGCTGTACTGAGATTAAGTGCATTTCAAGACCTGCAGTTTGGACATTTGTACAGCTGCTACATGTGTCAATTGGACGCTGTCCTTTACAACTGAATAAAGCACGCTTAAATTATAATAATTTAAAGATTTACTCTGCTCCTATGATGCTGCTTGGCCTGCTGTGTTCATCCAGCTCTACACCTTGTTATCTCAGATTCTCCAGCATCTGCAGTTCCTACTATCTCTGTCATCAAGAATGTTTGGCTTTACAATTATGAATTATTCATGAGATCAAGTAGTGGAACTAGGTATACTCACTTGGTACCCCATGTCAAAACAGTGAGCTGGATCTTGCTCAGCTAGCAATGCACCACCTGGTTTCAAAATGTACAATAGTGGTCTTTAGATTATTAATTTCCTCATTGATGTACATATTATGATGACACAACAAAATAATTTAGGGTGAGATAGATTAAATAGTTGTAGCTATGTCAATAGAATCATTTTTAATCCACTGCTTATCTGTAATCTTTAACTGGGCAGTGACAATTTGAGGTGCCCCTTTCTTAGAAACATCTTCTACCTCAGGATCTTATGCTTAGTTGAGCTTAAAGTCAGTTTGAGAGTTTGTCAGGGAGTTTCTATCATTACTTGAATCATTATCAACTCGCCCCCCACCCCACTCCACTAACCCCTCTATCCCACCACTCATCATCATCATCATTTATGTTTAAGTGCATTGTCTGTGGAGTTTATTCTCATGATCATATCCTGAATTGCCACTATAAAGGTAAGTCTATCTCGCAAATCAAAAACTCTTCACAAAGAAAACAGAAACTGCAAATTCTAGAAAGATGAAATGCAAACAAAAAAGCCAGAAAGATACACACATTGGGTGGTATGTCATCCCACCCACTCCACCAGCCCCATGCCAATTTTGGTGATAGGGACAGCGTACATTTGAGTGGAATAGTGATGGATGGAGAGCATTTGCCGCTATCCTGCTTCCACTCAGATTAAGTCCATGGTGGAAAGGCTTGTGGATGTCTTTCCTGCCCTGCAACCAACTGAGGCACTTAAATGAAAAATTACAGTTCACTTAAATACCTCTCCAGCTGCCACCAATATTAAACCATTGAGGAATTCAACAAGTAAACTAATGTGGGGTTGCTTGAGGTCAGTTAGGGAAGTCCTTCATTCATACACACAGTCTCTGATGAGGGGACCCAGCATTGGGAAAGGGGTGCCTGTTAAAATCCATCCCCACCCCTTGCTTCTGATCCCCTACACCCCTCCTCTTTATGAAACCCACCCAGTGAAACCTTGCTTGTCCTCACTTACCAGTTAACTGGATTGCTTCACGATCCTGGGTCTGCTGTGGACATATTTTCCATGACAGTGTGCCACTTCGCTGTAGCACTGGGCTCAAATTAGCTGGTAGCTCAGAGTGGCAGGGTTTCCCATCTCCTGAGTACCTGATCCCATGGAAGGCTTACCTTTGACTGGCTGATTGCCTGCTTGACAGAACTTCCCCAAGGATGGCAACCCGGGTGTCCTGCAGCATCAAACGGCTGTGACCCCTATTGCTCCCATAAGATTCTCCCCAAGTAGATTTACCAGCATCTGCAAGGAAATAAGAGAATGTCATATTTCCAATATGGGCCCTTCATCCAAAATGGAGACTGGATAATAAGATCTTTCTGAGTTTAAACGCCATCTTAATGGACTGAATGACTTAAGCCAGCTGCTGTTTCCTTATGATCTTTTGGCGTAAATAAAACGCTCGAAGGGATTGGACAAAATAAAATTGTAAGGAGGCAGTGGGAGGAAGAAGTGCAATGTGTGTTGACCCCTGTTCTATTCAATTCTATTAAAAGGTTCATTTACTACCTTCTTTCAGTTCTGAACTAAGGTTTATACCTCTGTCAATAACCTAACATTGCTTTTTACAAATGTGCTGCAGCCGTTTCAGTTTTATCTCATGTTTGCTTTCTGAGCCACCTAGTGGTAATAGGTCTTGCTTACAGGCGGGTTAATTAGAACACTATGTCTGGCATTTTTGGAAGTAAAGGATTTGTGCTTTTGCTTATTTACACTCACGTGGCATGTTACTTTAGGTCTGCACACTGCGTACACAGTAATATCAATCAGGTAAATCCCCTTATGGTGAGAGCAGAACTCACTTAAAAAAACATAAATATATAAAAAAGACAGAAAAAAATTGAGAATTTAACAGATATGATTCAAACTGGTCACAACAATTTGTCAGGACTGTCTTGATAACTCAGTAAGTGAATCCACCCAATGGTGGAAACTTGAGCTTTATTCCCTTGTCTTTTTAAGCAATTAGTCAATTTCAGCTGGAGCAAACACGTGTCAAAAGTCACGACAATATACTTGGATTGGAAAATATTGACTTAGGCTTCCACTTATCAATGATATTTAGTGATGCAAATGGCAAGTGGTTATGAACAATTGTTGGGTATGCACAGATTAGGAGTATTTGTCAAGAGCTGCCTAATGGTCGAATGGCCTATATGTGCTCACATTACAGCAGTGGCTACATTCAAGTAGCACTTCATTGGTTATAAAGCACTTTGAAATGTCCAGTGGTGAACGACATTGTATAAGTGTATGTCTTTTTATTTCTTTAAACATATGATTTATAGCCACATATGAAGAACAGCAAAAGAAATAGAGATAATGGATGAAAATTAGAAAACGAAGAGAAAGTTTGTCCTTCTAGTTTATTTTATGCTGAAAAGAAATCAAATCTGCCAAGAAAAATGTGAACTTAGTGGGTAATTGTGGATTGTATTGAATAAAGGTGAGGAGCTGCCCAACAAGAAAGCCAGAGAAATAAGGGTGAGAATTGCTCCGGGATTTCTGAAGAGTTCTTCACTGTGTTAAGACCAATCCAGAATTGGTAAAAGACAGAGAAGTTCTCAGCCACTCTTTTGAATATTGTGCACGATCAGTGTTCATTGCGAAAACAAAAGTGGGTGAAATTATCAAACAGGAGCTTAGCAGTGTGCCTGCCTAATTTTCCACTGGAATGAGTGGAAGTAGATATTAGAATGGGCAGGAATGCATGGAAACAGGTTTCAGGGATAAATACAGTTGTGGATTGTATTATTCAGGTAGTATGTTAGTGTGACTGTAGTCAATTCAAATTGGGTTCAGGCAAATGCAACCTCCATCAACACTGCCAAAGTAGCATATTCAATACAGCAGCAACATTGATGATTTCAACATCACTAAAAATGAAGAAATATAGCATCAAAAACACATCGACTGGTATTCAATTACTTGGTCTGCCTAATTAAATAATTTTCATCCCAGTTGGTTTTTGTAGTACTCCCATTCATTTGCCAATTTTACAAATAGAAATCTATAAACATCTGTGCATTTAAATCACTTATTTAATTGTTATTGCATTTTATATTGGACAGCGCTGGCAGTCTTTAAATCATATTTTATATTTAAAATGATGACTAAAAATATATTGACTTAAACCATGACAGATAATTAAATTCAGAATCATTTATCCAAAGCTTAATGGTGCATGCAAACCGTCAATGCTTTTAATCTGTTTACATGTTAGAAAAGCAAATCAAATAACTTTACAATAATCTTTAAATGGACTTAAGCTGGCTAAAATTTCAACATTTGTATCTGTATTGAGAATGAGCCATAATTTGTCATGTAAAATAATGCCTGTTTTACATACCTAGTTGCCTGTTTAGACAAATAAATGTGTAGTTACATATTCTGTGTAATTGATAACATTTTGCTAAAGAAGGGTAGATATTGGTTTCATGTTAACAGCCTGTAGTCATGGATTGCTGCATATATAGTGAGTTATTTCATAACATGGATATGCTCAATTAAATGTGGAATGTGTGTAGCAATCTAGCAAAGCCTGTTTTTTAAAAATTGTATGTAGTTATTTTTATACAGTATCTATGTAGCTTCATATATCAACCAGCATTGTCAAACCTGGCAAATCTTTTTTAATGCATTCACAGGATGGTGC